AAGTTTTGCTGCCATTATCATTACTATTATAATGATGATGGTGACGATAAAAATAATGGTGATGGTGGTGGTGAGGATGATGATGATTATGAATACAATAATAGTAATAATAATAATAATAATAATTATTATTATTAGTATTATTATTATTACCATCATCATTATTATTCTTGGATTCGAGCTGACGTCACATGCTTTTTATTTGTGAATGCGCGCGCAGCTGCAGTGAAAACAGTTCGTCGCTTCTCAGTAGAATCACTGCATTGAGCACTGTATCAGAGGAGGAAATCTTTTGAATTTTTCTCTTCCTTTGAGACACTGTTGCTACCTTTTCTCTTCTCTTCTTTGCTGATTCAAACCGCTTCAACTTTTTGCGTGTACACAAAAACAAAAGGGACATAGACTGGATGACTTGGATCCTTCTTCATTGGCTTCCCTGAATAAAAATTACTCCTCTTTATTCCGTTCAGATGCCAAAAATAATGCCTCAGACGACAAAATAGGGGAGGGGGAGTTTGATAAGAATAATCGCATGGCATTAAGAATCCAGGGCCATGAAACCAATTTACCCTTGGCCTAAGGTAAGTTTTCATATGGTTATTGTTAGTTCTCCAAGGCTCAGAACCTTGGTATTTGGAAAACCTTTATAGGTAAATTTTGAATTTTAGTATCAAAAGCTCGATTCTTAGCTGTAATGAAGTGGTTTCCACAAAGGTAAACGTTCCTGCCCTTAGGCCTCCATGGCGTGCCATCTTTGTGTTGGCGTTTGCATGCGTTTATCCATTTTTCCCGAAGTTCTTGGTGGTTATTAGGAAACGGAAGAATCCAAGGCTTGTTTCCATTTTATATGGCTCGTGCATGCCCATATGCAGCACAACTTAAAGGGCATTTCGAAAAGCAAAACTGCGGCTAATTCCAGACGAGGAAGAGTACAACGCTTCTGTAAGGAATGTTTTCACTGCAGTTGTCGTTTGCGTAGCAACTATGGATCGCATGCGCCGCGCTCTCGAATCAGAGAATTATCATCACTGTTATTGTTATTGTTGTTATTACTGTCATTACCATCATTTCTCATAATGATAATGATGTCAATGATAATAACAACAATGCTAATAGTTAGTATTTTGTTGTTGTATTGTCAGTTATTAGTTATCATTACAATTTTCTTGGTTATTTTTATTGTTATAATTATTATTATTACTCTTATCTCTAATGTTGTAGTAGTAATTAATAGTTGATAGTAGCAATCGTTGTTTTATTTGTTGTAGTAGTAATAACAGTACTACTAGCAATAATAGTTATTGCAATATTATAAATGATTTAGGTAGCAGTATTGCTATTGATCTTATGGTTATTTTTAATAGTATCGTCATCTGACTTTTATATATAATCATATAATTATTATTGTCGTTATTATCATTTATCTTATTATTATCTTTGTCAAATTGCGTTTTTTCACATACAAAATCAAATATGTACTACTAAATTACTACTTCCAATTTGTCAAGGTCAATTCTAATACTAATGTCGAAGATGTTACTTTGGTATCAGTGCCAATACCTGGAGTTTTTTGGTTGTAAGGAAACTCCGGTTTTGTCTTCCCTAATTTTAGCTTGAGAAGCATGACAAAAGGCTCCTGGGGTGGTCTGTTTCATTCCCCAGCTACGTGTGCCGAAGATACAACTGGTCGTAAAACAGCTGTAACCAATTTCTTTTATTTT